ACTCATCGTGAATAATGTCGATGAATTGTACCTGGCCCAGCAATAGGGCTCGGACCCATCAATAGGGCTCGGGCCCATCAATAGTTTTCAGGCTCATCAATAGTGCTTGGCCCAATCAATAGAGTTCGGGCCCACCAATGGTGCTTTGATACTAGCATGAGTGGATGACTAACTCCTCCTTGGAAGTGTGTAGATCAGTCTTGACCTTTGGAGTAGAAAGAGCTTTGTGTACTCTTAGCATATGAGCCTGTTGATGATGATGCATGTGTATGCTTGGACTCATTTGACCTTTCCAAAAGTTTAGAAAAAGTCAACTTGATTGTTTAAAGCCTTAGATTGGTTAGTTAGATACATGAGTTTCTTATTTAAGACATTTCTATATTTATTACAATGTACACCATGATGACTATGTTCTCCAGAAGTGAGATACAAATTATGATTAGCTTGGATTTTCTTAATAATCAACTTTTTTAAGTTACTATCCTTACTACTTTTAGTCTTTGGTGGACTAGTGTTCACTTGTGGGGTGAGGAATTGAGATTACCCCTCACAAACATGATCTTCGACTGTGTTCATTTTTGTAACCACACTTATCACCCACATTTTTTCCCATACACAACATTCTATCAAGTTTTTTAGTGCTTAGGGATAGTCTTTTAGAGAGTTCATTCGATTTAAGAAGATTTCTATCAAGTTTGACGATTTTAAACTTGAGACTCTTCTTAAATTCTACAAGGCCCGTGACACTCTTTTTTAAGGAAGCTCACTCTATCTTGAAGAGACTTATTCTCTTCTTCAAGCCCATAAATTTGAGCTTTGGACTTCAATAAGTCCACATGCAGTGTTTTTCAATCTTCTTCACTTGAGTTTATCTAACCATTCAAGGCAAGCACTTTCTTTTGTTGTTTGAAAAATTGCTCATCTAGTTGATCATATGCATCATTAATATCCTCAAAACTCTCTTCACGCTCCCCACATGTGGGATCTTCCTCTTTCAAGTCTTTTACTATTGTGGTAGAACTTGCTTCAACTTCACTAGTCGAAGTTTCTTTAGGTGGAGTGGAGTGTGAACTTACAAAGACCATGAAAATTTTTTCATCATCATGAGAAGAAGTGAGTTAACTGTCGCTCCATTTGGCCTTCAGAGTTCTTTTTTCTTTGGACAAATCTTTCTTTGTTCGATTTAGGCATTCTGTAAAACAATGGAAACCTTGCTCCTTTCCTCAACTTCTTGTCGAGAGTTTCTTCCTCCTTTCTCCTTTTCCTTCTTAGGATTTCTAGGTTTACTAAGTTTTCCTTTCGACCTTGAGGACTCTACATTACTAGTCTTGAAGTACACTTTGAACTTCCTTACAATCATAGTTGTCAAATCGCGTATTGAAAGGTGTATTGTTTTTTAAAAATAGTGTATCGTATCGTATCGTGTATCGTAAGATACAGTGTAATTTTAAATAATTAATAATAAAATATATATTTACAAACTTTAGGGTGTTTAGATATACTTTATTAACGGATATATTTACAGCAGGGGTCTAAGTGTTACGTGTATATAAATTTTAAAGCGTCTGTCTATAATATTTCAAATATTAGGGGGTCTAAGTGATTATATAATAAACCTCAAGGGGTCTAAGTGTAATTTTTTCTATTTTAGAGCAAAGCAGAGACTGCCAGATCAGAAAAAAAAAGAACGAGAGAGAGTGATCGAGAGGCTGAGAGAGAAAAACAGTGATCGAGAGGCAACGATCGATTCACAAGAACAAATTGATTGATTCACAAGCATGAGGCAGCGATCGACATCGTTCTCCAAGATGCATCGATCGAGAGGCATCGTTCTCCAACAGGTTTCTTTTTCTTTTTATTGATGAGGGTAGTGGTGGGCTTTGATTTTGAAGGAATTTCGGCCATTCCATTGGAGTGGCTGCGACTGATTTACCATAACAAAAAAACAGAGATTTCGCGTATCGTTCGTATCGGGCGATACGTATCGTATTGTAAAAACGTATTGTGTATCGGACGATACTATGTAAAAACGATACAAAACTCCGATTTGTATCATTTTACCTCTGTATCGTGATGTATCGTACGATACGTATCGCGTATCGTATGATACTAACAACTATGCTTGCAATGAAAGTTTGTTCTCTTCTCCTAATCGGGGTGACTTGGATTTACCCTTTTCTTCATTAATCAAACTCAATGCCACACACTTCATCTTTTTAGGTGGAAGAAGGTTCACGAAATCAATATTGTTGACTCAACTAGGTCTTCTACTAACACTGACTCCATGTTGATGCTAGCCTCTAAGGACATTACCTTTGCATGACACCTCTCCAAAAAAGATCTCACAAAATTTTCATTTAATGCATGCGTCCTCAACTTTGGTACCTTATACAAAAGATGAATTTATAATATTGCACAATTTAGCATAAAATTCACTGAATGTTTCATGTTCTTGTATCTCCAAAGTCTCGAACTAAAAGGTGTACCTTTGGAGTTTGGACATCTTCACCATGACGGTCCCTTCGTGGGAAACTATCAAGATGTCTCATGTTTCTTTGGAGATATCGCAATTTGTAATCCTTCAGAACTCATTAGATGTTATGACATTGAATATCACAGAGAAGCCTTTAAAGTTCCACCCTGCCGATTCAATCTCGACTTTTGTCCAAGTTTTTGGGATTTCAATTCCACCACTGTTTCACCACCTTCGACCCGAGTGGTGACAATGGGAGGACTTCAACCCTCTTGCACGCATACCCATACTCTCTCGTCTATGGATTTTAAAAACGCTCTCATGCGAGTTTTCTAATATGCAAAGTTAGGTCCGACAAAGAGAGGAGGTCGCTCAATTGAACCTCCTTCCTTTTGAGACTCCATTTGATACTAACTCTTCGTAATCAATAGATCTCTAAGAAGCAAAAGTTAGGTAAGTAAGCAAAAAAAAACAAGCTATGCCTACAACCGTAAAACTCAGTGCAACCACGCTCTAATATTAATTGTTGTTTTGGGAGGAGGAAATGTGGAGTGGATCACGATTATATACGTGGATTGCAAGACACTACCTAGGGGGAAGGGGTGAATCGGTTTTCAAAATTCTAGCTTGCACAAACACCAAATTAAATCTATTACTACCATAATTACTTCTTCTCACAGATTGATCAATTAATAGTGAGAATCCCCTTTTAAACACTACGACCCTTTAAGCCCATAAAGATTGATGTTATTAATTTTTTAATTAAATGCACAAACAGTTAATCTCTCGACAATCCCAATTCCAAAGACCCAAACCATAGCATGCGAGTATGGATGATAAATATGTTCGATGAATCATTCCATCAAACACATAGTGTGCGTGATTTGTTGATGCATGTAATATGAATCACAAGTGTATATAAAAAAGCAATAAATAACACGTGTGATTTGTTGACGTGAAAAATTCCTCCTCCGAATAAGTTATGGGAATCATTCAGGGTTCATTAAAAGCCTAATCCACTATTCTAAAGTCAACTTACAAATACTCGAGTCTTATACCTCAATCAATAACATGGTTAGATGCTCATTTTCTTCGATAAGCCTCTCTACCACATACAATCACTGATGTCTTGGATAGTTTCACTTGGATTCTTCACCACATTGAGTTTTTCAGGCCTCAAGCGATCTTCTCCGCTAAGATTTTCAGTATGCATATTTTTAATAGATTTAGTCTTCAAACAAGCAAACTTTTCTTCTCCAAGGTGTGAAGTTATATAGGAATTACAAGATGGTAGCCTTTAGATTTAGGGATCTAGGGTTGCGGTGTGATCTCTAAGGTGTACGAGGCAATAAGTTAGCTCATAAAGGAGATACCCTTGGTTGGAAAAGGCTTTCTCTATTTATAGGCTCGAAATAGGGTTTGTCATGGAGGCCAAGAAAATACAAATTTGCGAACGACTGTTTGAGCAATGGTAGGGCAGTGGTCACTAGATAAAAAATGAATTCCAAGTCAACCTGGGAGAACAGGACTGCTTCAGTGACTAGAGGACCACTCAAGCGACCTTTGAGGCTGCTTGAGCGACCTAGAGGGTGAGCTTTGCTATTCCTCCATTTAGCCTTTGCCTGATTTTTTCCTGAGTTATGAAGAAATTGCTCTAGTGAAGGTTAGCGAGTATAGGACAGTCTCTATTGGTTTTTTAAGCCTACAACTAATCAAAAAATTTGTCCGCTTAAACACTAAAGGGCATTGCTCAAGAAGATTCTGATAATGACTCAAATTTATGTTTTCAAAACACACAAGAGATTTATAAAATATTTTCTTTGAAGAACACCTAGGAGTTATACTCGAATCAATTATCGATTCTATTTTATCGCTAATCCTCCTAAGTTTATTAAACCAAAGAATCATCTTAGGTTTCCATGTCATTACCTTGTCCTAAGGAAGAAGGTGTATACGGAGAACTTTTGATGTAGCTTTGACGCTTGATCTCCTCCCTTCAATGTATGCTTTCGGATTTTCATATTTGTAGCATTATAACCATAATAGGTTGAGGTTTACAAGGACTTCACAAAATTAGTAAATTATAAAAATAATCTTACAACAAAAAATATTGGTGACTGCGAATGGATTTTTACTATACTGAATTTGCTAATTGACCTGAAAAGTGAAACCAACTTGTCAAAATGTGTATGTATCAGAAGGGAAACCTCTGGGATATGAACAGGAAATGAAGCAAAATGAGGGCACATGGGTACATTACTTAAGCAGGGGAAGTATGTTGCGCCACTGTTTTTACTTTAGGTAGTAGAAAATGAATAAAGAACTTGAGCAAAATGGGGGTACATGGTTAACATTACTGAAGCAGGAGAAAAATGTTGCACCACTATTTTTATTTTAGGTAGCAGAAAATGAAATAAGAACATAACCAAATTAAAGCACCAAACAAGAAAAAAAAAAAAGGGGGGGGGGGGGGGGGTGATTGCAAGGTTACCGTGTTTAATGCAAATAATAGAAGAACTTAACCGAATCTAAGAGGGGGTTGGGGCCGTGGGAGTGGAAATTCAGTAAGTGATATCAACATCAGCCCTGTTTAATGCTGCCGAATGCTGTATTATAAGAAACTGGTCCTCAATTCCTGTAAAAGGAGTAGAAATAGGACCAACTGAGGATTTGATGAAGGAAAGTCAATTTTTTGCATTTTTATATTGATGATGCATCACCAAGGATTGGTTTGAGTGAATTTGAAGATGCTTCTGGGACACGGTAAAGCATTAGAGGCATGATTCAAGACCTGCAGAAAAGTCATTATGTCATGTAATATTACAATGGATGTGGTAATTTGTAGAGCTGATTACGGAGATAATAATGCGTAGCAGGTTTCAAGTGCTTGGGATTTGAGATCTGCTAATTCCAGGATACTGCTGTAACTTGTGTAATTATATCCATAGATTCACGGATTTGAACCCACGACATATCGCTTGGGTTGTAGTATACTCGTCAAATCTTTCTTTGTTCCTTGTTAGTTCTACTCCTAACTTAGAAAAATGAAATTGCTCAGTTTGGTGATACTCCTGCAAATTTATTATTTTTTCTCTTTTACCTTGGCCATGTTACCTCTCTTTGCCCAAATAATATGTAGAAATACCTGATCTTTGCTGTCTTTCTCAGCCACGAATACTGATGGCAATGGCTAGAGATGGATTGCTGCCTTCATTTTTTTCGGATGTGAGTAAACACACCCAAGTTCCTGTCAAGAGCACTGTAGTGGCTGGTTTGATTGCTGCAAGCTTGGCATTTTTCATGGACGTTGAACAGTTGGCAGGGATGGTATGTTTACATTATGTGGAAATGGAGATTCTAATTCTTCTGGATTAGGAAATAAACCTGTAAATGAGAATATCATGACTGTGGCCAGACCAATGAACACCTGAATGTCTATTGGTACTCTGAAACCTGGACAACAGTTAACCAGTAACTAAAAAAAACTATTCATGACCAGATAAGAAATATATTTGCATAATATTCACCAATCATTAGGCTTTTTGATAGTATTTTAGTTCTTGCCTTGAGAGTCATTGGCAATGGTGGCTGTTCAATGGTCTCAATTGTTTCTTGGGCATCATTTTTTGCATAGCACGTTCATGGGGGGAACAAGAATGAAATCCCATTGATGTATCCCTTGTGCTTGTATTCACCAATCCAAGTGTGGTCAGGGATTGGTCACATGCTGACTGGGTTTTTTGGTACCAAAACAGCATGTTGTTTATTGGATTCTGGAATGGCAGTTTGAAAAACATACCAAATTTCAATATTATAAATTCCTTTGTATTTTTTATTGAACAACTATAAGCTCCCTTATATTATGGGTTTCAAGATCTAGATGACTAGATAGTTGCATTTTATGTGCAGGTTAGTGTGGGTACACTTCTCGCATTTACAATGGTGGCAATATCTGTGCTGATACTTAGATATGTTCCACCGGATGTGGTTCCACTTCCACCATCCTTTCAGGAGGCAATAGATTCAGTGTCATTGAGATATAGTAGTGCTACTGGAGACATTGATGTGGGGATCACAGAAGTAAATGTTGGGACCTCTGGGAAAAGTACTTCACTTTTACTTGGCAAGGCACAGGCACAAGATAGATATCCCCTTATAGCCAAAGAAACAGATAAAGGTATTTTTTTTTTTTGTGAATTCTTATTTTAGTAGTTTATATCTGATGTGGAATTACTGTTCAAATGGATGAGGTATTATTTATTACTTTGACATATTTTGAGTTCCTTTTTCAATAGTTCTAAATTTTATACGGATCCATATTATAGTAAAGAGTTCTAATCCATATGCATTTCATGTTTTGTTTGGCTTATTAATTATGCATGCAATAGGCGTTTCTGTTGTTCAATTAGCATTTTTTGAAAGCTTTTTGTTTCCATGATTAAGAAAAATCTCTTTAGAAATGTTCTATTTGCCAGAAAATACAAACATTTAAATTCTAGACAAAAAGTGTAGAATACAAAGTAGATCACGTCTCAGATATTCATTAGTTAATTGAACTATATTTTTATGTACTCATTTTACTGAAAAATTGATCTTGGAGATTGTATAATTTTTATTTTTAATCTGTTTCTACGAATGATCTTGGCCAAGCTACTTTTATGTGGGATCGGACAGATTGTTTACTTATTTCTTGCATATGTAGCATTTTCAGATGGTTTACTTATTTCTTGCATATGTTGCAGTCTTGGTAAATGACAGCAATAGGCGGAAGATTGCTGGCTGGACCATTATGCTTACATGTGTTGGGGTGCTTGTTCTTACATCTGCTGCTTCAAGTGTGGGCCTCATTAGGTTGGTTGTCTTTTAATGTCTTGTTCAAAGGATTTTCACAGTTAATCCCTCTTGATGGAGAGTGGCAGAGAGATTTGTGTACTACTCATGGATTACCTACAGAGAAAAATATAATGTGTCTAAATACAGGATTGATAACTGCAGCTTTAAAGGCCAAGAAGAAAGCAATAAACATGGGGTTGACCGAAATTAGACCATGCGATATGTATGTGTGTTTGTAGCGAGAACTAAGTACCATCCAATACACTTTTCCTCAATGTTAGATTAGTCACCATTGTGGGTGGGGGTCCACTTGTAAATAGTGAGTTCCGTTGAACTCAGCCACCGTATGTGGTAGGGTTCCCCACTTGTAAGGAGTGAGTGCCCGTGAATTGATGACAGGTGATGTACCTTTTGAGCAAGGGAAAATGTATCGTACCAAAGTTTTCCGGAGGCATCATTGTGTCCTTATGTTATTTATTGCTGAAGGGAGTTCTATTTTTCTTGAAAGTGGCTTTGGTATAAACTCTCCTAACTCTTAACTCGTTGATTCCATTACCAGTCTGCTTCGATTTACTCTTTGTGGAATTGGTGGTGTTCTTCTTTTAACTGGTCTTATAGTGCTCACCTGTATCAACCAAGACGATGCGAGGCACAACTTTGGGCACACAGGAGGTATGTCGTGTTGATTAATACGGGAGTATGGTTTTGTCCAGTTAGTTGAGCTTGATAGAATGACTAGCTCTTTTCTTGTATCTAGTATATTCTACATGATCATAAGCTAGACATGCAGTGATTCCTGTTCTCTAATTTCTGATCTCATAAATGAATCAGCTCATTTGTGTGATACATTGGTCAGGCCTTTTCTGGTTCTTGCAATCATGTTTAACCATAGTTGCTTATATATGGTGGTAATTAAGTTACCTGTTTGTGCAAGAGATTATGAACGAATTCTTAGATGAACTATTGATCTCTGTCAGGTTTCATTTGCCCTTTCGTTCCACTTCTACCCATTGCTTGCATTCTCATCAATGTCTACTTACTGATTAACCTCGGGTGAGTAATTTAGTTGTGTTTTTTTTGGCAGTTAGCTTTATATTTGCAATATGTGACATTTTTTTTTGAGCACTTTGAATAACATCATCCGAAGTATTTGGGGGAGGTTGGTACCGAGACTCAGACCCACATGGGAGGCCTGCTGCTGTCTGTATTCTTAGTACATTGCATGGACATACAGTTTCCAATGCCTCATTTTCCTGTTAAACATAGTGGATTCATTTATGTGGTACTAGGAATGTCAGAATCTTGAAGTTAAGTTGCTAAAAGATTGTTATGATCCTTCTCTTGTTAGTAACCAAATAAATGTTGACTAATATGGTTTTGGCATAAGAAGCTGTCCCCATTACAACTCAAACAAAAAATAAGAAAAGTAAGAGTTGAACACAAATCTAAATATTAAAGAATTCAGTTTTTCTCTTTTCCTTTTGACCTTTTAGTGGCCTCTGGGTACCAGCCTTCTAAAACACTTTGTCCACTGTGCTGCCACTGATCAGCGCTCATTTGTTGATGTTCCTTTGTTCACATTTCTGACTTGGTACGTTTTCTATCTCAATTTTCAGGGCTGCCACTTGGACCCGTGTGTCGATATGGCTAGTATTAGGGGTATTTGTTTATGTGTTCTACGGCCGGACTCACAGCTCACTGATGGATGCAGTATACGTGCCTGCAGCGCATGTTGAGGAGATTTACCGCAGCTCTGCAAACACTCTGGCATAGTTGTCTTTGGATCCTTGCTAATGTTAAGCCATAATTTTCTTTCCTGTAATATATTATATTCTTTGTGTTGTCTGTAATTCATCTGCCCAGAAAGAGGGAAAAGAAGAGAGAGAGAGAGAGAGAGAGAGAGAGAGCAAACAGAAAAAATAATGTTTCTTACAGTGTGGAGGGACTGGTTACTTGAATGTGTCTCGTTTGTAAATTATGTTACTGGCATATGAGACCTGTTCAAACGATTTAGAGAGAGAGCAAACAGAAAGAGAATGTTTCTTACGGTGTGGAGGGACTGGTTACTTGATTGTATCTCATTTGTAAATTATTTGTTTCTGGCATATATGACCTGTTCAAACGATTTAGTGGATGTGCAAATTGAAGGCAGACGGAATTATTTCTTGGGACTTTTAGAGTTGAATGTGTTTTGGTCATATATGACCTCTTATTTAAAACATAAGCGATGAATCTATGCTTAAAAGTATTGGATAAAACAAAAATAATTTGCAATAAGAAAAAAATTTGCAAGGGAAGACGACATAATTGTGAAAAATGAGCTTTTATCCAAAAATTAGGTGGTGTTGGAAATTTATATTTAAAATTGGGTGGTTCTTAAATCAATTTCAAAACCCATGGATTTTAAAATTGTCAGTTAAATTGGTCTTTAAAGTAAAAACATCACTTGGATTGATGTTTTTAAGACGAGGTTAATCTTTGTTTACAACATAAAATCTCATTTTAACAATCATCGTTTTGTAGAAATGTCATTTTGACCGACATTTTTAACGTAAAATTAAATTGCCTTTCCCCTTTTTTCTTTATATTCTTTCCTTCTTTTATTTTCCCTCTTTTATGTTTTTGAGCCCTAATTTGAAATCCCACCACCCTTATGCAAAATCTCCATCACACCACCACCATATGAAATCACCTCCACCACCTGCGAAAACCACCACCATCTGAAACCCACCCTTCAATCGAAACCCATTCAAACAAAACTCAATCACCTCCACCACCCTTCAATTTGAAACCCCCCATTGGCAGGACCCCCAACTGAGTGAAGTACACCGAATTCGTCACTACACAACCACAACCACCTATCTTCCACCACAAATCGTCCACCACTACACAACAACGACCAACACTTTCCACCACTACCTCCACCACTTCAACCAACACTCCTCCAGCATAGCAACAATAGGTCTCTCTCTCTATCTCTCACTATTTGTCTCTCTACTCACTCACACTCTTTCCCACCAATTAACATCATTTTATTCATAAAATTAGTTGTAAATTTTATTGCTTGTAAATTTTATTGCTTGTAAATTTTATTCCTCTTTGTCTATCACTCACTTTGTAAATTTTTTTGCTTGAAATTTCAGCATTTTATTGCTTGGAATTTCACCAATTAATCCCAATACAACAATACAACTTAGTTAACCAATGGTTTTGAAAGCAATGTTTAGGTGTAGATTAGTTGTAATTTGATTCATAAATTAGTTGTATATTTCACTTAAATTCTATGTATCTCTCTTTGTCTTTGTGTGTGTGTATATATATATTGCCATCTATGCCCACCACTCTCTACCTTATCTCTCTCTCTCTCTCTCTCTCTCTCTATCTCTCTCTCGCCATTGCACCCGAAATGTCCATACACAAACACACACGACGTTGTTATTGGCATAACAACCGGTACACTATAGGTTGGCCCAACCTAGTCCTCAAGAGAAAATAAAATAAAAAATTTGTAATCGTCACAACAAAATTAAAGGAATAGAATCCTAAAAGCTAAGATAATGGAGATTTCTTCCTTAATTTTCGAAACTAAACTTGATCTAATAAAGATAATTAGTTTGCCTTGAGTTGGAAAGTCTTGATTATTGCGATAGAGTTAGAAACGTTGATCAATTACTCCCTTGTTAGCCAAAAAATTGACTACATTATTGGCCTTCCTAATTACATGTTTGAGTTCAAATTGAATTCCTCTAAAAAATGATTTTATCTGATCCCATAAATATCACATATTCCAATTAATATCAATCTTTCTCGTGATCTTGCATTGCCTCATTTACTATGTTTTTAGTAATTTTATCCAATCATTTCTAAGAAAACAATAGTCCAACTGATGTATTTAGTTTAAAGAAGTCAATTGGATTGACTTTTTTCAAAACAACATGGGTTTGAGAATTAAGGCAAATTTTACCCTCTTTTGGGAATTATTTTATCAAACTTATGGTATTGGTTTGATCTCCAGGTTTCTTAGTTTGCTAGCTTTACAGTTCCAGCTCTAAGGTTATGTATCTAAATACTAGAAGACAACAAGTTTCAAAGATAGTGATATCATATCAACGTCATATTATTTGATTTCAACATAAATCTTGTATGTCTCTTGTGTTAAATTCTGTGGATCTTTGTTTAACTATGACTCTACTGTTTCTCAAGTATCAACCTTCTCTATCTATCCTCAGGTACTTGTTAATTCAGTATTTATTTGAGTACGTATATTATTTGAAATGACAAGAAAGCAAGTTACGATTTTGTTGTGTTGGGGTGGAGAAATGAATTATGGATTGGAGGGTTTATTATACGATTCTCCTTTAAAAGGAAGAATTGTTATAAATAATGGCACAAAATTGCTGGAATTATTGAGTAAAATTTATACTATAATGGGGTTGGACAGGTCGCAATACAAGTTGAGGTTGACATATAAATATCTAGTTACACTAGGAATAGGACCAAACATGAATACATATGTTGGACTGGAAATTGGGAATGTTGAACTTATTGGTGATTTGGTTAATGTGGTAATCGATAACCCCAACATGGTTAGTGTTGCTTTGTATGTGGAGATGGAGGACATCAATGCAGTCATAGGTTGTAGTTAGACTAAGGAGGTGCCTAACCACTAGTAGCATGTCTTACACTAATTTGGTCAGACGAGAGATAGACACCTTGACATTTCTAACTTTCAGGATGACGGGTGAATGTTTCACTCTCGTGGGGATGCAGTTAATGGATGAGTCTGGGTGGTACTCCTATTTTCACCTACAGTTGGTGGGTACTCAACTCCAATGAGTTAGAGTTTTCAAATGGGTGAGGAGGGGATTGAGTTGGGTGAATTAGAAGATGTCCATCGATCAGTTATGCAACAAAGCCCAATACGAGAATGTGAAGAAATGTGTGTGAATGATCGCACAGATGTCTTAGACGAAGAAGAAGAAGAGTATGAGGAATTAATGATTGTTGAGTCAGATGACGATGATGGAGATGGTGAAACCAATAAGGCTGGTGCCGAGGTTCATATACATAATTCTTACACTCATTTCTTCACAAACATTGAATTTGGTGAGTATTCTGAAGTAGATGGCTTAGTATCATTTACTGAATTGAATCTGTGAGATCCAATAAAGATGGAGTTGGCAAAGAGTATGGTTTTCAAGGATAACGTTTCATTGATTAGGGCAATAAAATGGTATTCCATCAAGATAAATCAGGATTATGTTGTGGTGGAGACCAACACAATAGTGTGGGCCATACAATGCAAGATTTACTTACAACCTAACTACAAGTGGAGACAATATGCTTGTTTTAAGGAAAAACTCAAAATATTTTAAATCACGAAATATGATGGACCTTGTAGCTGCTTCTACCCTCGGATGACTCGTGACCATAAATAGTTAGATTCTGACTTCATATGTCATAGTATATTGGGTCTTGTTGGTGATACCCTACAAACGAAAATGTCGACTATTCAAAAAAATATAAAGGAAAAGTCTAAGTATTATATCTCCTACAAGAAATCCTGGATTGTGAGGAACAAGGCCAATGCTATGATTTTTGGTGATTGGGACTTGTCGTATGGCATTTTGCCTAAATTTATGGGTGCCATCAAGAAGTATAATCTTGTCTCGATTGTAAAGCGGCAATACAACTATGAATCTGATGAATATAATGTTTTTTTTTTTCTGAGTATTTGAGCACTCAAAACTTGTATTTATGGGTTTGTACATTGTTGACCCGTTATTAGTATTGATGAGACATTCATGCGTGGTAAGTACAAAGAAAAAATGTTAGTGGCGATGAGTTTTGATGTTAATAAATAATTTTTTCCCATTGCATTTGCTATCGTGGAAGAGGAGAATCAATCAAGTTGGTCATTTTTCGTGTATTACCTTAGGCAAATAGTTGTTATAGGTCGGCCAGAGATATGTTCAATTTTAGATAGGCATAAGGGAATCATTTCTGTCGTGAACTTGGAAAATTATGGTTGACATCCACCACATGCTTATCATCGCTTTTGTCTTAGGCATGTGCATAGTAATTTTAATACAAGGTTCAAGGATGCCTACTTGTATGATCTTATGTGGAGGGCCGACAAAGCACGACAAATAAGCAAGTTCGTGGGCTGATGATGTAGACAAGAAATGCCAATGAAGATGCTGGTGAGTACTTGAACAACATACAAGTGGACACTAGCCCATGATGGTGGAAGATGATATGGAATAATGACGACCAATATTTTTGAGGTTTTTAATAGCGTTCTTCAAGGTGCAAGGTCTTTCCCCATAACTGCTTGTGTGCAATCAATATTTTATCGGATCACTAAGTATTATTTCAAACATCGAGATAAGGTGGAACAATGGAAAGACAATAGGTTGGAGTTCCCTAAGAAAGTTGTGGATCGAGTAACACATTCGTAAAAAGAGCCGTGTGCATGAAGTGAGGCCATTTCCTAGGGTTTTGCTGATGTGGTGACTAGAGGAGTTAAGAAGTAAGTTGTTTGTCTTGAAGATCGTATGTGCACATGCAAAATATGGGCCATTTATAGAATTTCTTGCTCTTATGTATTGGCTGTATGCTCTTATTTTCAATTGAATTTTTAGGATTATATAGATCCCTTATACAACATTAGTAATTTAGAGAACATTTGTGTGCCTTAAATGTATCATTTGGAGCATGAAAATTATTATGATGTTCTTCCACGTCCCAAGTTAGTCCCTGATTGCGACCAATGACGACACTTGATTGGTTGTCCAAAGACCCTGCATAAACAATGAGATGGACTTCCCTTATCGGACCACCCATTTCGTGGCTTGATGCTGGTTTTTATCTTGTCGGCAATATCATCAAGCTGTTGGTATGTGTTGCTAAATTGTTAGTTAATATTAATGTGTTACCTAAATCACTTTATATTGTACTAAACAATAAGCTTGTGGTTATGCAGGAGCAGACACCGACATAGATATATCACACAACATATGATACAATTAATGGCCAGCTTGATTTGAGTACTTGTTTGACAACCATTAGCCGAATCGGGGATTTTAGCTACAACTGTTTGTCAGCTATTCGTCAGCACTGTCATCTCGTACAGGCACCATCAGACATTTGGCGGCTACTAATTCCTAC